TTGTCAAAGTTTTCCTCAATCCAAGGAAAGACCAGACGCTGGAGCTCTAAAGGCGGGATGACCAGATCACGCTCGATAAAGTAAGGCTCATTCGGGCCAAACTGAGCCATACAAAAAGCGCCCCTGGTTGGGTTTTTTGGAGCATAAAAGTTCTCCGTTTGGCCCATGACCCACCTTCCCAAGTGGCGAATATCATCCAGGCTTAAGCCTCTTTCATAGGCTTCCGAGACCCCTGCATGTCGGCCAGAGTGCGTGATTTTGGCCGAATGCACGTCGTAGCCACGCATTACAGCCGCCGTAGTGCTCATTTGGGTTTGGCCAGCAAGCACTTCATTTCGGTTCTCTGACCGTTCTCGGCTTGTGCCGCCCCCTGTTAGCACCTTGATGCTGTACCACTCGTCAGGGTCCGCGAAATTGGGGAGGGGCTCTTTGAACACCTACAATAGGGAAAAAAAAAAAAATAATAATAAGGATATATGTCACTTCGTGTAATTGAATAAGAAAAAATCATACGTCGCGGCAAGACTGACGGCATCATTTACCTGGAACCGTTCTAGCATATAAAATGCGAACCCGCCCACGGTGCATCTTAAGAACAGCTTATGTCGATAAGCTGTCGCATAGAGCTCGACACCTTTATGGTTTGTCTTTCCACTTGTGATGCAGAAGACAAGCCCCGAGGCCAGCTTTGACCCTGGCGCGGGGTGACGGGTCTGAATATTGAATGTATTTGCCAGGTTCAAGTTCCGGATGTCCTCATCTCGCAGCAACATATGATGGCGTGCAAGGAGGCATAGCCTCTCCCTCATATATTGAAATCGCGCAACACTGTCGTAAGGTCGCCTGCCGCTTACTCCAACCGTCGGAAGCATGCGCCATGTAAAGGCCAACATACGCAGGTACATTTTAGTGTTGTACGGTTCTCGTACGGCACAGGTGGCAGTGCGGGATAAGGTGCCTGTCGTTACTTTGTGATGGACAAGTTTCTCTCCATAATTTTTGATCGCCTCCGCTAGTGGTACATCCGTTCTTGGGTTTGGGGCGGGATTGGGATACGGAGCTGTCGAAGAAGACTGTTGCCTCCATAAGTATTGCAAAGCCTTCTTAACATTTGCGACTGTCCCCAGCGTGAGAGGAACAAAGACAATTTTGCTGCCATGTTTGTCCTCTGGTGCTTGCAGGATAACTACAAACGCAAAAGTATATCAAAAAAAAAAAAAAAAAAAAAAAAGTATCAATTATTAGTGTGAATTGTAACAATCAAAGATGTATTAAGGTGAATGCAGGATTTAAGAAATGGTTTATTAAGCTATAATTTAGTAGACTATTTATATTGATAATTAACACTGAGTTGCAGCCATGGTGTCTTGTCACCTTGGGGTACGCATGATGGCTGAGCCTTCCCTTAGGTTTGGACCCCATTACTGTATAACAATTTATATATTAACACATGGTTGTCTTTACATACCTTGTTCTCTTTCGTTTTCAGTCCTGATAACGGCTGCAGTCTTCCGCTTCGGCATGATGTTCTTGCTTGAACCCCCGACAGTTACAACTTCATGTGATGCTCGCTCCTCATCATTCAATGCTATATCAATCTGCCATTGATGTGGGTCGACTCCTTCAGGTGGCTCCATATTATCCCAGGAGGGAGGAGCCTTCTTACCTCTCTGTGCCAATGACCTCAGCTGAAGCTCCAGATCTTCATCCTGTTCCTGACCCTGTTCCTGTTGTTGACCTTGGTCTATGCTCTGGCCGTCATCGCCATCATCAACTTGCCTGCTGTCATCTAATGTCTCCAGTCTCTGCTCCATGTTGCTTAGTTCATGTTCGTCGATCTCTTCTCCTTCGTAGACTACTTCTTCCCCAGCCTGGGAATTCGAGGAATCTCCTCCACCTTGCTGGGCATACTCAATAGCGCCACGGTAGCAACGATCTGTGCCGATCAATCGCTTTACTGTTCGCTTGAAGACGACCGTTGTGAAGTATTCAAGCATGCGTTTCGCATCGACGCTACAGTCACCTTGATATTTTTCATTGCAGCATTGCTATAAACAAAAAAGAGGATTAGGCAAGTCGTCTAGTTTGAAAGCCTGTCTGATAGCTCATAGCTACATTCCGATGATCAAACATACCTCCCACAGCCGGAGCTGTGTCTTATATTGATTCACTGTCGCCGATGAATCTGGGTCACCTAAAATCATCTGCAGCATACTTCTCGCCGATTCCTTCCGCGCGTTCGCCAGCGCCAGCTCTTCTTCTGTCAATGGACCGGAGTGAAGGACATTTGAGGATAAAGAATCAGCCTCACAACGCCTAGGACGCTTATAAGATTTTGCGCTAACTCTAGCAGTCTGTGCCACCAGTGAAGGCTCTGGAGTCGTTTCGTCAGTCAGAATAACTCTTTTCCCCCTCGGTACTGCACGAGTGGATCCAGTGCGAGTACTCGACTTGGTTGGCTTGGTCTGACTGGTGCTTTGTTCCAAATCCATGCAGGTGAAATTGGATAACATCTTTTCGTTGTTGTTTGTCATTCTGAAAGTGAGCGGGAATGAACCTTTGAAAATGCGAATGTGCCGTTATTTTTCTCGGTTTTAGTCAGGGGAGAGAGTAAGTCTACTCTGTGTATTGTGGGTTTTATTGTTTTATTGTGTATATGAATGTATGGAGGAATGAAGGCGTGAATATAAAGAAGGAAAGAAAGAAAGCTTTAGCATGCCATGATGACTGTTAAAATCTAGGGTGCCATTGATTTGGGTGTGTGTGTTATCCACACACTCAGCAGGCAGATAGAGAACACACCCAATTTCAACACTGTGGCTTGTAACCAATGTTATCTCCTTGGGCTTGAGTGCATCCATCCAAATGGGTGCCCTCTTTTTGTTATAGATCTATAAGGCTCCCACCTAGCAACAATAATAAACAACGTTTGATCTCCTTACCATAAAACTTTTTTAGCTAACCAACTATAGCAACATTTGGATCAATTATCAATAAATCTCTATCATCCTACAACACCTTCAAAATGTCAAACATTACTATCAACACGGAATCTGCTTTCACTCTTTTGACAGGGATCTTTTGGCTTGTGGCTGAACACTTAGACCCATCGAAAAAAGACTTGGATCTCCACAAAAAGATTATGATTCTTTTGGGGTCAAAGGACAACACCCCGGTCCTTGAAAAAGACTCAACCCTCTACATGAGGGGAAAGGTATGTATCAAAAATATGTATACTTATAGTGTATTAAAAAAAGAGGCCATAATTTACTAAGCTGCCCTCGTTTTTTATTCTACACAGGCACAAGAAAACGATCACTCTTCCTCGGCCACCAAGATAACTGATGAGTTGACCTCTCTTTCGTCCTCTGTTCTTACTTCCGGACTTGAACGGCTCTCCTCTACCCCAGAACCTGGTTCATTCTCTCCCACTTCTGAACCTGGTTCGTTCTCTCCTACTTCTGAACCTGGTTCGTTCTCTCACACTTTGGAATCCCCTCATGGTAAATTTTCTCAGTCTCCCTCCCCTCTAGACATGTCTCATAAAAACGACCTCTCCAATTCTCAGAGGGATTACATGCATGAACATTCGCCACTTTTTCCAAATGGAGATGTAACATACTTTCTCGACATGAATGCCGATGAGGGTCCTTCTGATACTAATGTCGGGTGGGCTATGTTAACATATAGTCACAGTGAAGCGAAAAGGGGAGAAAAAAGTATTTCAAATCCTGTTTGGGTGTGTATCATTGTCCGGCCCCTGGGTGTATGTGTCACAGTAGACCAAAGCTTCCTCGAGCTGGAAGAAAGAAACATTGTCTGCCATTACCTGAAACAAAGACTTGTCCCCTGCACTAAGTCCAGCTCGCCCATGTGCCCTGCATGGCTACGTTGTCCATAGCATTCTCTCCTCACGACGCCACAGAACCAAAAAAGGCAGAGCTATACCACCAAGGTGTACACGATCATATCAAACCCCACTTTTGGAAGCCTGATTTAAAGTCGTTGAAGAAACTGAAAGATATCATCGCCGTAAACCCAGCCTCCAAACCAAAGAATCTTCTAGTCGGCACTATTGATCGCCCTTCTGTCGCAAATATTCACCCTTCCCTTGGGAATCTCAATACAGTTGGTTATTATAGGAGATCATTCTTAAAAAACAACGACCTTTCACTAGGGGACATTTTCAAGCTGGAGGAATCAGTTAAGGAACGTTTCTTTAGCTCCACAAGCCTTTCATCAAAGGATGCACATATCACCATCCAAACTAGCTTCATGAAGGAACAACAGTGCCAGTGGATTGATACTGGCTTTCAAAGTGATTCAATTCATGGATTTGTAGTAGACACGAAATTCCAAGACATTAACGTTACGTTCACGTCAGGAAAATGCAAGATTCTGAATAGGAACGTACCAATAGCCATATCGATAATGTTTGATATCGCAAGAGCACTACAAGAAGCACTTTTTGGTTTTTCTGAAATCCTTTGCATACAAAACTTTTGACGATTTCAAAGAACACTTTCCTGGAATGACCTGCGATTTGTCGGAGGCCGAAAGAAAGGGCTTTATACTAGCCTTAAAGGAGCAATTCGCCATTCATGGTGAAGAAATTGATTTAAGTGGTCTCTATTAATTTTGTCATGTTCATCAAGCGCTCACTGAACAGGACTGCATGGAATGGAGCAACAATTCCAGCAGAAGACAGTGCAGAGTTCATGAAACTTGGGATAGAGTTACTCGATGATTCAATCTCGGTGAAGCAATTTGAGGCTACTGTCACTAGCATTCGTGTCAGGTTCAAGAAGATTGGGCCATGGATTGATTGGTATCTCAACCCTTCTCGTGGTAAATTGCTATTCCCAGCCCTACGTGATATTGAAAACCCCAAACTTTCCGATAACACAAATGCACAAGAAGGTATTGGCAATGACTTCAAGACAAGCAGCGGCGAGAAGAACTTGTCAATATTATCGGCGGTGCGTCACATACAGTACATAGGTATACGGACTTGATTAAAGACGACTTTAATAGAGTTATCTCAGGGATGAGCATTCGGTATCAATCCTCTAGTAGTCGCTCCCCAGCCCCAAAGAAGTCGAAAGCATTGAGAACGTCAATGATGGAAGACCTCCAGAGCTCGGTGCTCCGTGCATCAGCTCCAAGAAGAAACGTATTGGACGACCACGAGGAAGCAGGAATAAGGCACCAATGTTTTGGTCCAAAATTGAGCTTTCGATAATTGGGACTCCTTGGGGGATCAGTTACAAGAAATTTGCAGCAACAAATTCCTGTCCTCTGGATACAACGCTCATGATTTGGTACCTTCTTCATCGATCTGCCGGTATAGAACTCCCTATGCATGTGAGAGATAAGCCAAGGAATATAAGTAATACCAAGAATGTTGACAAATCCCTGACGATAGGTGGCATATTTCAGAATATTGTGGCAGCAATCACAAGAGGCGAGCATCATAGGGCAAGATGGCTGTTTTGTATAGAATTGTTGAACATGTCACCTGAAGGACAAGTGGATTTGTTTGGGAGCATCGATAAAACATTTCTCGAGCCACTGAAGGATGTATTCAGCATTCAATGGAGGAATCGCACCACCTGCTCCTTCAAGCATTGTCCGAAGGGAGAAAAAGATGAAGAAGAAGATGCCGTCACAAAGTACATAGAGGGCGTTGCTCAAGGATCATCACTTACACAAGATATCATTAGAAGTTTTGGTGTTAATGATACATTATTGAGATGTTTTTCGTATATTAGAAGTCAAGGAGATCAAAAGTTGTTTTTATTATTGTCAAACGAGAGCCTTTTATCAAGGACTCTCTATGACCGTCACATGATATTCTGACCTTATGAATAAAAATGGAAGTGCACCTGAGGTGCACTCCCAAGCCTCGGTACGTAACAACTCCCCCCCAGATTTTAAGGTAAGGTTATTGCCGTTATAACTCGAGGTAAGAGGAAAAAATAGAAAAACCTCTGAATGCTAGAGAAAACTATGAGGAAAAATGGACTAAAAACCTCTCTATGAGCTACACTGTAATTGATTGGAGGAAAAAATAAACCTCTTAGAGGGTAAAAAAATTTAAACCTCACGTGAGACCTACTAAGGTCTGCTATAACAACCTGTCTTTCTTTTTCTCTTGTAAAGATTAAAGAGACAAATACATCATGGAAACCATAGTCAGCGAATGAGTCATGGAGCCTCTACAACGTTGTGTAATTTAGAGCAGCCATTGGATAAGGATATGTTTTGCGGGGAATGCAGGCGGTTAATTGTATAGCATGTCAAAATGTAGAAATCTCATTGGACCTTTTTGTCAAACAGAGATCACAAAAGATCACGCCATCTGCCTCCCCCAGAAGGACGAATGAGGTTTCTCAAAGCGAATGATGAGGAGCAAGGAAATGAAATTAGAAATCGTCAAACGATTGCTCATTCCTTCATTCCTCATTTCAACTTTAGACACTCTCAAACGCCTTCTTACACAAACAAATATACCTTGCAATTCAGACCACAGCCTTTTGTAAATCATTATCATTATGTCTTCTAACAGCACCCCTTCTTCTCCATCGTCTGGTGCCTCAACGCTTTTTGAGCGTGAGGACTATGAATTCATTCCAGCGGAACTTTCTTCAACTTCGTCTTCGCCCGTATTGGTAGAGGCTTCAGACGTGGAGGGTGTCAGCAACTCCGAAGAAGATAAGGAGGACGAGAGCAGCTACGACGCTGAGGACGACGAATATGATTACGAGTGTGAGGAGGATCTGTGGGATAGCGACGAGGGAGTTCGTGCCTGGAAAAAGGCACATCACCAGTTTTACCACCCAGAGTCACGGAGCCGCTCAGCCTCTCTGGAGATCCCAGGACCTCGTCCTAGCAGGAAGCGAAAGGAGCCCTCTAGCGATGAAGAATCATCAAGCAGCGAAAGCAGCGAGGCAGAATTGTCAAGCTGCGGAGTATGCACGACTCTCGGGAAGAGAAGACGTTTGATGGTGGAGAGTGGCGATGATTCCGCTAAGAGTCGCCTTCAAAGAGAATTTGCATGGGCTAAGAGGTATGAACGCCTCTATAAGAAATATACTAAGCTGCGCAGGCAAGCAGAGAAGTATAAAACTATGCGAATGCGTGTAGAGAAGGTTGTGGACTCTCTTAGCTCTCAATTACCATCGCATCCAGTCGCTAGTTGCGATTGCTGCAAAGGAAAGAATAAAGCTGATGGTTGCTGAGTAGGTTGTAGAAAAAAAAATAATAAAAAAAAATAATAAAAAAAAAAAAAAAAAAAAATTATTGCTATGAGGACATGTATCTATTCTTTTGTCGTCATGTTGGAGAAAATTTATTTGCACAAAAACTCCATTGCTACACGCAGTGTATACTTCCGCGTAGTCTTTTATTTATTGCATGCGTTTGCTTTTGGACCTAGTGTTTCTGGTTCTAGATTGTGCTGGCTGTCTAATCAGATTTTTGTCTTTGAGCTTTTGGATTCTTGCTTGAGCCCTTTTCACTTTATCGTCTTGTTTAGCACGAATGTGAGGGTTGCTTTGATTGAGACGTTTCCAGTACTGTCTGATGATTAGATCAGAATCGAAGTCTTCATACGTTAACTGCGAGTTTTCTGAGGAGTCATATCCTTTCCACTTCACAGTGTACTTCACTTCCCCTGATGTGAAATCGTGGTCAACTATAGATTCGACTTCATAGGACTCATCACTTGGAACATCAAGTGCCTGTGTGACTAATTTGAGTTGCTCAGGGGCAAAGTTGCGTAATAATTGACTATTGGTGGCATCTAGTAAAGTATAGCTACCATTTTCTGTTCTAGCCATTACTTTGTATGGTCCATGATATTTAGGCGCAAGCTTGCCTTCCGCTAATGGATCCCTCGTCATGACAAATGACCCTGGAGGAAAATCTATAATGCGGTGGGTGCGATTAAATTTGGAGATCATTTTACGTTGTGTGTCTGCACTCTTTTCAGCGATGGCTGGATAAACCAAATTGGTTAAATAATCCAATCGATCATTAAGCTCCTTGTCAGACAAAAGATGGGACTCAGCTGATGAAAAGTCCGTCAGACCCGCAAATGATCTGCCATAAAATAATGAGAATGGTGTAGAGCCATGTAGGCTGGCGGCCTTGACGTTTAATTGTAGTTGAGTCATGGGTAAATATTTGTCCCATTCTTCCTCATGGCCTTCAAGCTGCTTCTGGATATTCTCCTTGAGAGCTCGAACAAACCTTTCGGCTACACCATTCGATCTGGGATGGTATGGAGTAGATAGTCTGTGATCTATCTTTAGCTTGTCATTCATGAGTTTGGAAAGTCCATTGACAAATTCAGTGCCATTATCGCTTTGGATGATCTTGGGGAACCCAATCATGCAAAATAACGAGAACAATCGTGCAGCAACTGTACTTGGCTCTTTGTTCGGTAATGCCTCTAGTATGACGAATCTTGTACAAACGTCTACCATCACTAACGCGAAATTGTTGCCCTTCGTGCTGGTTTTAAAAGATGCCAAATCAATGGCGATGTGTTCTCCTGGTAGATTCGCATGAATGGCTTTCAGGGGATGATACCCTTTGCGTACAATATTAAAATGCTGACATTTTCTGCACTGACTAACCCATTTAAGACAATCGTCTCTCAGTTTGGGCCAAGTGAACCCTTGCTCATGAATTGCTTTGACCATTGCATTTCCTCCTAGGTGGCCAAATTCATGTACTTTTTGAAGACATGCTACTCTTTTTTCTGCATCTAGGATGGTGTGCATGGGAGTATCCTCATTTTGAATGACATGAATATAGGAAGGCTCTGGACCGGATTGGGGTTGGGATATTTCTGCTACGACTTCACTTAAGTTATGTCTTCTGGCCGCTGCAATCGAGGGACTATTACTACCACTAGAAGCAATTAAATCAGATTGATTTTGCCATGGTTCCTCAGGGAATGCACGCGACAGAGCATCAGGGATCACATTTAATAGGCCGGGTCGATATACACATTCGAAATCATAATTGAACAGAGTTTCTTTCCAATTTGTTAATATCTGGGGTAACTCTTTTTGTTCATGAATGTACGTCAAAGGCCTGTGATCTGTATAGAGAGTGAATCTTCTTCCCCAAATATACTGATGAAACTTCATTAAGGCGAACACTATGCCTAAAAGCTCCTTTTTGTACGCGGGGTAATTCTTCTCCGATTTATGTAACGCTCTTGCCTGAAATGAAATGTAGTTGACTTTAGAATGGTCATCCCTGCCCATCGGTAACTGATAGAGCACTGCACCAATGCCTACGTTGGACGCATCTGTTGCAATATAGAATGGTGCCTCAAAATCAGGGAATGATAATACTGGTGCTGAGGCTATGAGGTTTCTTATTGCATCAAAGCTTCTCCTCTGTAAATCATTTAGCTCGAATGTACCTCTCGCATTACGTAGCTGATCAAGAGGAGCGGTGACAGTACTATAGAGAGGAATGTACTCTCTGAAATAATTAAAGAGACCAAGATATCGTTGAATCATCTTTTTGTTTGTAGGGTATGCCCATGATTGCACATTGGCTAATTTTTCCATGTTGACACCCCTGCCATGTTCGTTAACGACAAAACCCAACAACACCACTTCTGTACTCAGAAATTTACTCTTTTCTCGATTGATGATGAGCTTTACTTCAGTCAGTCTGTTTAGAACGACTTTGACATGTGCAAGATGCTCATCTACTGTTTTGGAGAAAATAATGATATCATCTACATAGACTCCACAATAGTGAAGATCACCTAGTAAATGAGACATTCCTCTTTGGAAGATGCTGGTGAGAGGCTTAAGCCCAAAAGGGGCTCTAGCGAACATGTATTGATTACCATTGTAGGTAAAAGCCGTGAGTGGCTGACTCTGTTCAGCTACAGGCATGCGATGATACGCTTGGGAAAGGTCAATGGCAGAAAAGAATTTATGACCAGCTACCTTTTGTTGAACCTCAGTGACTAAAGGTAGAGGGAAGTTATCTGTATCCAATAGCTGCCTATTCAGCGTTCTTGGATCAAGACATACTCTATACTTCATAATATTGCCTTCTAGATCCCTCCTAGCTGCCATCGTTAGAGAACTGTTGTATGGATTACCCTTTGGAGCAGGTACAATAACTCCTGTATCCCACCATTTCTGCACTGTTTTATCGACCTCATCTTTTTCGATTTGTGCATGAAACGGTCTAGATCTTTCTTGAATGACGCAGTCAGACTTCACTTTGAGGATCACCATCATGGAATCAAGCGTGCAGTATGATCTCGGGTCTACATTGGCATTTGCTTGAAGACATGGCTCAATAGCGTCCATGAATTTTTGTTTGATATCTAAAAACCCTTGTGTTGTCTCACTGGTAGGTGCTTCTTTAGGGATTACTGTAGGTTTCTCATCATTTGGAACCCAAGGAAAATCCTCTGTGATAGCTTGTGGTTGAGTTATCCCCGTGATAGCAAAGCCAAATCGGCTGAAAAGATCCATACCAATGATAAAATCGTAGTACTCTATGTCCATGACATATAGCTGACTCTCGGTTGATCTACCATTGCATGATAACTGCACCTTGTCACACGTAATGACACTTGCAGTATCTAAACCCTTTCTGATCATTGCGATTTTGGAGTTAGACAATTTACCACATCTGATATTGAGATCGTCTGCTACCTCTAATGCGATGAGCGATATAGTAGCACCCGGGTCTAGCAGGGCTGTACATTGCTGCCCCATGATATAAATAGGAACAGCTATGCGATTGTCACCCTTTGCAGGTCCTTTGAATGCATACACATCATTACTACTAAGTTTGGGAATCAAAGAATACTGTGAAAAGAACATGGTCTCTTTATTGTCACTG